CAGTGCACTAGTGAACTTCTATTTTTTTTCTGGAGACAAAGTTCAGCTGTAACACCAATTTAAGGCAACAAAGGTTACGGTAGTTAAGAGAGAAAGGACGACAAATCCTTTATCCCACAAAGAAACAAGCGCTTCCTTTCCAGAACTGAAGAGGTCTGGGATATCTTGAGCTAGAACAGACCAAAACAGTGGGAACTTTATTCGCCCACGCGCTAATTCACGGTCAATTTGCTCACAACCTCCTCCCAGACCCAGCGGTGACCTCGGCGCCATCCCGTGCCCTCACGCCGAGGAACAGCCCCCTCGGACCTGGAACCCCGGGAGCCAACCCGGCCCAGCCCGTGCCCTCCCCGGGGCTCCGGGACAGCGCCGCCCTCCCGCGGCCCCGCCGTACCTGCAGGACGCGGTGGCAGAAGGCGCGCACGGAGCGCAGCGAGGCCAGGTCCAGCTCCCGGACCACCAGCTCGCCCTCGCCCTCTGCCCGCTCGCCCACCTCGGCCCGGATCTCCCGGGCCGCCCGCTCGGCCCGCGCCCGGTCGCGGCAGCCCATGATGACGCGGGCCCGCATCCGCAGCAGCTCGGCCGCCGCGGCCCGGCCCAGCCCGCTGTTGGCGCCGGTGATGATGACGGTCTTGCCCCGCATGGAGCCCGCGGTGAGGGCGCGGGCCGCGCCCCGCAGCCAGCGCCAGGCGGCCGCCAGGAGCCCCGCGCCCAGCGCCAGCGCCGGCAGCACCGCGGCCATGCCGGGCGGGAGGGCGGGCGCGGCGCCTGCTGGGACTTGTGGTCCAGCAGGGCTGAGGGAGCCTGCGCTGTGCCCTGCGGCTGCATAATGTACCCGCAGCGAATTTAGCGATCGTAGGAAACTGCGGGGAGTGGCTGGTACACGGGAATGAAGGGTGTTCAGAGAGACATTGATAGGCTGGAGCGTTGCGCGGAGAGAAACGTGATGAGGTTCAGCAAGGGCAAATGTAGGGTTCTACACCTGGGGAGGAGTAACCCCAGCTATCAGGAGAGGCTGGGAGCTGAACAACTAGACAGCAGTTCTGCAGAGAAGGACCTGGAAGTCTTGGTGGGTGACAAGTTGACCACGAGCCATCAGTGTGCCCTGGGGGCCAGAGGGCCAGTGGTATCCTGGGGTGTTTTGGGAAGAGCGTGGCCAGCAGGTTGAGGCTGTTTGGGGAAATGAGTAAGCAACCCGAGAGGAAAACCATGAGCCTTTCATCAGCTTTTCTGCGACTTCTCTGGACTTGATAATCGTTTGCAATAGTAACCTCCCCTTAGCTGTCACATGTGGGTGCTACATGCAGTCTTGTCACATTGCTGCAGTCTGTTCTAAGGTTGCATGACTGCAGCTCATGTCACAGCTGCAGAAACATATCTGATTTTTCTGCGAGTATCCTTATATCATGTCTTTTCCGACTTCCTGTCACACTTCTCAGGCAGTTTAAGGACTGTATAAGCACCACATCTAAACACTCGGGATTTGCTGAGAGACCTCTTCCATCTCTGTCTTCACCACAGAAAATTCTCTCTTCATTCTCAGCCCTTCATTGTGAGCATCATGGTTACACCAAAGGGTATTTTAGCCAGGCCACACCATCACATCTGCAAGTGACGCAGATGGATTTTGGCATCCTTAATGTGCTGTAAGAGCCATCTTGAGGTGTTTTTCCATATGCTCTTCTCATAGTAAATCATATAGTAGGAGGTGTTGAAGCCACACCTACCTCTGCATGGATCAGGAGAAAGGAACAGTGGTCCCCAATCAGATGTAAAAATAGGAGAACCAGGAAATGCCCTGTTAGAGGAATTACAGATTCATTCTGTAAGACATCCTCCTGGTGGGAGGTGAAGAATCTGCTATCCATCATCTGGTAGTGGAGACTCTGGCCGTCACCTCTGACACATATACCACTTCAGAACACTGTGGATGTGTTGGAGAGGTCACTGCCTTGAGAACCCTGCCTGGGTTTGTCACAGTCCAGCCTTCAGAGCAAACAGCATTGTGCTCAGGAGCTCATGGGTGATAACAATCAGAAGCTACTCATTGGCAGGGATGATGACATTCAGACATTGGTCCCAGATACTCCTGAGCTGGATAACTGGACATTATTATTTCTTCTAAGACATGGATATGCTTCACTGATTTTTCTACCCATCTATTGCACTTGAGGTTGTGTTTAGCACTACTGCAGGCCAATGCAAGTTACAGGATCTGGCAGAGGATCCTCTTCAGGATGTAGAAGTCCTCTGAATCGCAAGTCCTTAGAACAGATCATGGTCCAAAACACATGTTGGAACACATGTGATGATGACCATTTCCAAATTTTCCTCTGAAATATTTTTTTTCCTCTAGATAGTTGTTTCATTATGCATGACATGACATGCTAGCCTGGAAACAGCAAGGGTGTTTTAGAGGTGTGAAGGAACTGGGGAACATGGATTTATTATGTCTTGGTAGCTGGTGGAAGATATGTAACACACTCTGAGGATATGTTCTTCTGTTTAAAAAAAAAAAAAAAAAGCCAGGTCACCTTCAGAATCTCATTTCTAATGTTTTTGTCCATGGAGATTGGTAGCAGTAGGTGAGACTCCCATTTGTCTTACCTGGACTCTTCACTGTGATGTGGTGCAGAAACCTGGAAGCTAAGGAAAAAAAAACTGGCTTTGCCTGATAAAGTTATGTTTCCACACAGAATTCATCTTTGTTATCATTAATCCTCTTCCAGGTTTTGCCTGAGTTGAGTTTCTTTTTCATGAGTCCATCAGGACAGTCCTCTCTATTTGCCTCTTTCTGTTAACTGTGAATGGCTCAGGGTTATGAGGTGCCAGGGCATAAACTTATGGTATTCTCATGAGCGTGAGAAGCTAGACATTTTTTGTTGGGTTTTCTTGTTGTTGTTTGCTTGTTTGTTTTGTTTTGTGGACTGGAATGTTATTAAGAGACAATTCTCTTCTATGTCTACAAAAATAGAAAACACTTTCCCTCAGCTCCCATCCCATTTCAGACAATTTCCTTGAAAAAGATTATTTCGGTCCACTAGCCAAGCTGTGCCTTGGAGCAGAAGAAAATAATTTTAACAGGCAGAGACTGCTTGGCAAGCCTGAGTCTCCCCTAACATCCAGATTGGTCTGGAAGGTACTTGTATGAACGAATGAGGCTCCACTCATCCACCATGCTGCCAGCTGGATGAGCAGAGAAGCAGCCATAGAGCCTGGGACAGTTGCCTGACAATTAAAAGGCAGTGTACAATCTGAACAAATATCTAAGGGTATTTTGCTCAACTAACTTAAAAGAAGTGATTGTGGACTTTAACATCAACTTCTGAACTTTAATGTCAATTTGAATTCTATGACTAAGAATGTAAATTTAATACATGAACTCTTTTCACATGTGCCTTAGTGCTGTCAGGAGGGACATTGCAGGAGGGAGTCCTCTAGTACTGTGTGTACAGATCAAGAACTGGAAGCTCCTAATTATGTCCTGGCCAGTAGGTTTCATTCCTGTTGTAGGTGCATGATTGATTGGAAATAAACATAATAGACCAAATAATTCAGCTTCCAATTTATTCACTGATTTACATGCTTACCCTATCAGGCATGAGACTCACCTCTGGACTCCCACAGGGATCAAGGATCCCATTAGACTTTTTCAGTATCAAGATGTAGTTGTTCTGTTGAATGAGAGTCAAGTGCCAGCTTTACATTTCACACACCCAATCCCTACTGGTCTAACAGGGCATGGATGAAGAATGGCTGATCCATGTCCTGCTTCAACAAGGCAGGACCAGTCCTCCTGAAATCTGCAGCCATGCTCGTGTGGTAAAGGTACACACACAATTTATATTCCACAGCCAAGGAATATTTTTGAATTCCTTGCGGATTCTGAGCTCTCACATAAAAACATCTGCTAATAACATTTTTCATAATCTCCATTTGGCAAGGTAACTCTATCCCATCCTGGCAGACAATGACCAGGCCTCAGTTATTCATGTCTTCCTCACCTCCTGGCTGGGCTGGGAAATGTGATATGTTTTGGGCACAAAGCCTTTAGCACTTATGGAGTTCCAAGTACACCAGAAATCTGCAGTGCATCCCATCAACAACACATATTAGTGTGAACACATGAAAACCTTTCCAATGGTCTCTATTCGTGTTTCATGCAGGATTTTTTGCCTTTGCTTCCAAAGAACTTTGTGGCTTGGACCCAGAACATTAAAATGATTGCCTATGTTCCTGGGAGGGAAAACATAATTAATGCAATGAAGCTTTCTGCAATAATAGGACGGTTCATCCAGACAGAGGAACCAAACTTTCTCAGAGGCTAACCTGAGATTCTGGATTGAATTCCCTGAGGAACCACAGATCATCACAAGCCTGATTCACCATTTCTACTCCCACTGCAGAGCACATTCTTTTGGTTTTGTCTCCTATAAATATACAGCAACAATAAAAAATAAAACAGAACAGTTGTTGCACTAGGGAGAGAAAGAGAACAAACACCACCTGACAGATGTTAGTGGTGTCATCTGGATATCACTTAGTTACGTGGATAACACTGATACACAGGAATTTAGCATAAAAGAGGTAGAATAGATCTATGGTGTAAATTTGAAGTCATGTAGCAACAGGAACCTGTCCCCTGGAAACCCATTTGAGATTGCCAAACTGAGTTCACTCAGATAATGGAACAGCTGTAAATCCTAAGGGAATCTAGCTACAAAACAAACAGTTCCATCAGCAGTATTATTTCTGGGTAGATTCTCTGCTGTTACAAGGTGCGCTCTAAAGCTTCAGCCTTTGTCCCAGTCAAGATACTCACAGCATCTCAGATTTCTACCCAGCTCTGTGAAATATCCTGGGACTAAGTGAGACCTCTATCTCTCTCTCAAATTTGGCTGAAAGTGTTTCCTTCTGGTTCTAAACAATAGGAGTATGCTGATTACACAAACTCTGCCTGGGAAATTATGCTAAAACCCCAGTATAGAAAAATGACAATGTTCTGTAAAGCCAGCTTTATTAAGGTAAGAAAACAATATAGAAAAATGTGTAAACACAAGATCAAGTAAGCTAACATTTTACTGGAAGCTGAAACCTTGTGGTGACAGACCTACTGAACACATATTTAACAAGCAAACCATCAACAGGTAAACAGTTACATCTAAACTGTGCTTTTGTGAACTTCAGAAATAACTGTCAAGAACTAGCCTTACAGCATGAGTTTTCTTATAAATAACCCGTCAACAGTTTTTGGAGAAAATATAACTGTTCTGTCTCTCAAAATATGTCTCAAGCTATAAAAACAGTACAAATCTTTTCCTAATATCAAAACCACAGTGTTAGATCCAGACAGGTAAAAAATCTAAACCGCTTAAGAATTATATTAAAATAACTCCATTAAAAACTTACCTATATTAAAAATATTTCTTTTAAAGTCTGTTCTAGCCAGAAGTTCAATCTTTAAACATATTGCTTACAGTACACAAATGTAGAGGTTTTCAGACATAACTATTGGTTTATTAAGAGGCTGGCTGAGTTAAGAACTTTATCATTAATGGTGTCATCCAGTCATGAAGATTTGTGGTACTTCTGACCAATGCCATAGGGAACGTGTGCAGCTATGGTGCCTAATTTCTGTGCTCCTTCGATGTGGAACATCTGGTCATCAAAGAAAATGTGAGGGCGGATTTTCACCAGGATTGGTCCTTTAGGAGCTCCTGCTAGGAAAAGTGCCTCATCAATCTCCAGACCCCAGCTACGGAGAGTCTTCAGCACTCTAGCTCCAGAGCTCGCCGCACTTCTGGCTGTGACCAGGTAGGTCCTTATAGGACAGTTTAATCGTTCGTTTTTTGCGTAGAACTTCTTCTGAATTTTCCCCAGGTCTTCCAGAAAACCCTTCAAAGGGCCCTGAGTATAAAATACCAGAAGCATATTTAGTCTTTGTCCACAGTTCCCCAAATCATTCTTTTGCTTTCTGCCAGACTGCAGTTACACACAGAATTCCTTTCCCTAATGCTATGCTACTCTGCAAATTCTCTATGTAACATATCCAAATGGGTTTGCACCCTCACTAGGAATTCACGCACTGGAAAAAAGTTAAAAACATAATCCTACATGGTATGATCAGTGGGAAAATAATTCTCACTAAGGCGATCTCTTACAGTATAAGCTTATTACTATAGTCTTTAGTGTTCCTTTAGAAATACTGAACTCTTTTTACTATGAACCATGAGCTGCAATTCTTTCTCCTGCACAAAACCCGGATTAATGACTATACTACACTCCAATTAAAAGAAAAAAATGACAGTTTGGTTCTTCAAATCGCAATATATTGTACCATCCAGTACTTTCACAAATCAAGCTTTTATTATGAATTTATACTATTTTTAACAATAGTAGGGTTGGTCTTTCAGCCTAAGCTAATGTTAATATATTTGTGCTTTTTAGACAAATTACATAGTTCTGCTTCTGAATAAGTACCCTGTTTCAATAACCAGAGTATTTCAGTGTTAGAAATTAACATTACCTACCAAGTCTGATAAAAGGAAAAATCCAGGAAATCAGTACTATTATTTTTCTAATAATAACATTAAAATGCAACTGTAAGTCAGAGTCTTATATATGTAGTTCTCTCAGAGAAGTGAGAGATCTGGTGAAAAGGCTGCAGTGGTGGCCTTTTTTATGTCAAATATGCATTTTAAAGACTATCCTTGTAAAAGGAAATAAATTGGGCACTCAGCTTCCACAAAGAACACATACACATTGGGGAAAGTGGAGAAATACAGCAGCAATTAAAGTCATCAGATCTTTTGGAAACTTACTGATTCAAGAAAATACAAACCTGTGCAAGAGGCTTATTTTCATTCAGCTGTTCATGTTCAAAAAATCTATCTAATCCTTGCTCTTTGACAATCTGTTCTGATTCATCAGAAAAGATAACAGCATCCCCATCGAATGCCACCCTCAGCTGTGTATCCGAGTAAGAAACATCTTTGTTGGCAGTGAACATTGTAGCTGATGCAATGCCTGAAAATGGATCAGAGAACCCCAGTTAGTCCTGCAAAGTCATTCATTAAACCACCAGCAGTTTGGTTCCAACAGCTTATCTGTGGTGACCTTTATATGTGGTGAGTGGAAATGATCACAGAAGCTAATTAGTAATGGCTGTTCTGTAACACAAATGCATGGAAACTGTCCCATTGACAAAACTTCTTGGATATTCTTCCTTTCATTTTCACATAAGAATGTACAAGAACAGTCCCCAAGGTGTACTGCAAATGACACAAAGCAGGCAAGTCCCAGGAAACCACTTAATCAAACTATTTGCTATTTTTTAACTTCTTATGAAACACAGAAGCCATTTTTTTAAGTTGTATCAAAAAAGATGATGCTATTCAAATAGAAGTTGAAGAGAGGTGGAGATCCTTTTCTTTTTGAACAGGAGAAGACAGAAATGTGTAGAGTGATTAGGTTGTCATATCAGTAGGCTGAAGGGTCAGAGAGGAACAGTATCACATGATTTTATCTGGTTAAGTAAAAATAAGTAGTAAACTTGCACCATACAAAGTGGTGCCTTTCTGCATTTGATGAAGCAGCACTACTTTCTGTGAAAGACACACAGTATATTAATTTTTGAACAAGCTCAACAGAGAGATAAGGAAAGTCAAGTCAAACCTGCTTCTATAGCTTCTTGCACTTTTTCGGAGTCTGCTGAGAGGTACAGGTTTGTAAGGTATGCAGTCAGGTAACCAATAGGGCTTTGTCCTCCCGTCATACAGAAACGTTCAATTGTTAAGCCTAAAGTAAGAACAGCACAAAGATCTGCCTTGACACTGCAAACCTGTAAAAGTAACCTAAGAAAAGGTAGACTACCCTAGCTGACAGTAAACTTAAATTAAAAAAAAAAAAATGTTCATCATAATTTCAACAAGTTACACAACTTAAACTGACTAAGAAGTTTGATCAGTCCATCCTCATTCATAATTTAGGAGGAAAAAATCCCTCTAAGACAGAGTAATGCTGTGAAGGTGTATGTCTAGAGAGCATAGATAACAAACATCAAAAAGTTTAGGGACTTCTCAGAAGTTCAGATTCACACCTGACAAGTTAAATCTAGAGCATTGGACCAAACTGTTTAATATATCTCACTTGTTCTGACACCCGAAAATAAATATCAAAGCAGCTGTTTTTCCCAAGGTCAGAACAGCAAGAATAAAATTAATTAATATTATTATGAAATAGCTGTTAATTCTACCAGTATTTATTTTATTTACCATAGTGATTGATGCTGTTTATAAGTCTCACTCCCACTTGGGCATGGTTATTAGTCATCAGGACAATATCAAATCGTTCTTCATCATCAGGGTAAAGTTCAAGAAGGCGGGCATTGACATGCTCCAGAGCCTGCAGGATAAAAATGTGTCAGGCAATAGACAAGTGGAATGTGCCTCCTTTTGTTAATCACTGTAGCTTTAGTGATAGAATTGCCTTGAAGGAGAATTTGAAATACCTGATAGCTTAACTTGCTGAACTTGTTTTATTCCTTTCTGCTTTGCTGCTCCCAGTAACCATTTGACTGGTTCATTTGAAAGGAGGCAAATAAGTTTCTTTTGTTGAGTTACAGAATTATACTTTCTTGTGGAAATCCTTTTTCTCAGGACATCATAATCATCCAGAGCAAGTCAGTGCATTCATTGTTGATCGTTATTACAATCACCATTATTTTTTTTCCTGTCCACTTGAAAATTGTTCTTGTGAAATCAAGGAGAAAGTATAAAGGAATGAATACTTGCAGCTGCTTGTTTTGCATGCACAAATGTGAATTTGAGTCACAAACTTATGCAAAGATTTACTGACACAGTTCAGGTGGTCAGGTGTCAAAGATCCTGAGTAAGTCCTTAAGTAATGAGTACAAAACCATATCCTATCAAACATGATTAGCAATTTCTAATTGCAGTACCGAATGACAGATTTTGATCCGAGATCCCTTTAAAGATAATGAGCCAACATGTTATATCCACATTTTTGCATTCTTATTTCCTTGACCTTTTATCTGCTCATCTCTCTCTGTATCCATCTGTTCTCTCTTATTTAGAACCTCATCCCTTTGGAGTAAGACCTCGTTTTTGCATTCCTTGAATGGAATGGAATTCTTTGGGATTACAGCAATAAAATCAAAAACAAACCATCAAAAGAATACAAACATGGATTGATTTTCAATTAGGTGCTTTAAAAAGTCAGGCCAGTTGTTAAGAACTAAACCGCAAATTTAATTATTAAATTCTGGGAATCTCAGTTTTAAAAGCATGGCTATGTGATGTGGGACTGTGCTTAGGACATTTCTAAGTGAAAGCCTGGTATAAGGCCTAGGAAAAAAATCTTAGTATGTGGTTATAACCCACTTCTAATAATCTACTACACTGGCAATTTCTTAAATTATTAGGAAGTAGTGGTGAGCGGAGGAGGGGATTCCATTTTTTTGTCCATTGCCTATATATCTTTTACCCTAAGGAGACCCTGGCCTGTGATTACAAATCTGAAGTGCTACAAGCATGAGATATAATAGTTTTAAGTTAGTTTTATTCTCTTTTGCCTTCTTTATCTCCAAGTGGAAAAGATGACTCAACAAACCCACAGTTCTCCAGCCTAATGATTCCTGTGACTAAGCAATATAAAGAATTCAAACATACCACAGTGGAAGGAAACAGAGGTCAAGGTGCATTTAGCTGGGCATAGCTAACAGTTCTGATTTTCAAAGTATAAGGAGTTAAACAGTTAAATCTTGCTTATACTCAAACTGAATCTGGCACTGAATTCTAACAACTCTTAAAAACTGACTGTGCTAGCAGGGCTGCTAAAAGAAACAGAAAATTCCCTAGTCAGCCTATCCTCACTGGTGTACAAAGTGAATTATGACCTCATTTTTATGTTAAAAGCACCCATAAAGTGCTTTCAATCTACTAACAGCTATGCTATCAATACCACTAACAGCTATTCTATATTTACAGCAGCATGGGTATTGATATAAGTAATTTTTCCACTGTGTATGTTCAAAAAGTGATTAATTAAGACAATGTTTTTAATTCCTGAGACTAAAACTGAGGTACTCAAAATCTACTTTTAAAACTTGAGGTGTTCTACCACAACTGTAATTTCAGTAAGTATGACTGCTGATTTTGATTTCATTAATTTTCTAAAATCGCTGTGGTAGAGCTTATCACACAATTCTCAATGGACATAAAATTAACTCTGTACACAGCATTTCTTCAAGTCAGTTCCACTAAAATGTATGCTCCTCAAAGCAATACATATTTTCAGGTCTTTTCAATTTTTTTTGTAATTTCACTTGCTTTCCCTGATGGAAGCTGTTTTCCTTGGCCATTTCTCTTATTTTGTTCAGTGAAAGCAAAATATTCCATTTCAGCTCTGCTTAAATCCTGACTGCCAACTAGAGAGTGTATTTCTTTTGCTGGTCCTCAAGAACAATTTCCAGAGTGACAACAAAAGCAAGAAAAAATTAAAGCAGACCAAAAGGAATTAATTTCTTAATAATTACATTAATATAGAATCAACACTGTTTTGGGTTATTTGTGGGTTTTTGGGGGTTTTGTCTTTTTGCGTTTGTTGGTTGGGAGGAGGTTGTAAAAAACTTAAAACAATCAGGGGACTATCTTGACTGAAAAGGGTCTTAAAAAGAAAGGTAGTTTGTGGGCGCCTTGTCCAGCAGAAAGCGCAGGTTGCTCCTTACCCACATCTGGGATGTGATGCTGTGAGCCGGGATACAAACCGTGATGCTGAGGGTGCAAGTCTGGTCCCGGTGACGGGAGCAGTACGTGATCTGCCGCAGGCGTTCGGCATTAGTGCTGGCGGGAGGGGAGGGGATGTGAGGAGGAAAGGAATGGACAGGGAAGAGGAGAGGGGAGAGAAGCTGTGACCGGATGGACGGGGCGCACAGAGATGCGGAGATGCTGCCGGGCTACCCCGCCGCGGCGAGCTCACCGCTGGGAGAACAAGTGGCGAAAACGTCTCCCCGGGTCAGGGATATCTCCGCCCAAGGACGCCTCGGGCTCCTCCTCTTCCCGAAATCTGGCCTCGTAGCATCCTCCGAGCCCTGCCGCACCGTACACCCTCCCTTGCCCCGCCGGGCCAGCCTGCCCCCCCTCGCGGCTACCTTGACGAAGTAGAACGCCGGTCCGGGCTTGAGGGTGACGTTCTCGTTGTTTTGCTGGTACTCCACGTACTTCTCCACCCCCTGCTCTTGGTAGATCCGCCGCTCCTCCACCAGGTCGAAGAGGGCTCGGGAGGAGACGGCCACGGTGATGGCGTTCTGGGGCTTGGGCTGCAGAGCAACCTCAGGGTAGCGCTGGCCCGCAGCTCCCGGACCCCCAGCTTCCCCTGGACCCCCAGCTTCCCCCCGGACCCCCAGCCTTCCCCCAGACCCTCAACCTCCCCCCGAGTCCCCAGTCTTACCCCGCATCCCCAACACCATCCGCCCCAGCTTCCGGATCCCCGGCCCGCCCGTACGCACCGGCCGGGGTTTCTTGGTAACCAGGTTGTCGTAGAACGCCTTGGCCGCCGCCCAGTCCTGCTCGGCCTCCTGCAGCCCGACCTCCGCCTCCTCGCTGGGCTGCGGTGCCTCCGGGCCGGAGCCGCTCATGGTGCCTGGCGCGGCCGGGCTCGGGGCGGGCGGCGGCTGCGGCCGGAGAAGGGACCGGGAAGCGGTGGCAGTGGCCGCCCCCGCCCCGCCCCGCCCGGGCAGAGGGAAGGCACCGGCGCTGCCTTTCCCTTTGGCTGTGCCGCGCCCGGGCTCGCCCGGCCCTCCGGCGTCACGGCCCGGCCCGGCCCGCGGCGGTCCGGCCCTCCCCCAGAGCGGAGCAGCACTGGCACGGCGGGGCAGCGGGGCCGCGGCCTCCCCGCATCCCACAGCCCGCAGCGGTCCTGCTCGGGGGCTCCGGCCCTTCCCCGCGCCCCCTGCGGTGCCCGCGGCGCCCCCGCCCAGCCCACGCCGTTCCCCTCCACGGTACCCGGAGCTACTTGATGTCAGGCAACAGTCTCCAGCACCGAGTTTATCTACGGCGATAGAGATTTATCATTTAACTGCAGCGACCTGATTGATTTGACTGCAGCGAATTCCCAGGAGATTTCTTATATAATGTGTTTTAGCAGTGAAAATGAGCTTGATGCCCATGACCTGGGGTCCACTGTTCGGCGCAGCAACATGCGAAGTACCTTCAAGAAAAAGCAATTTGGGCAGTGATGTGGAGGGTGTGTGCAGCACTCACAAGGAGCTATTCTGGCATGAGGTTGGGGTGGTCTTAAAATCCAGAGTCCCACACAGAGGTATCGGCAGCATCTAATACACATCTATTACAGCTCTCTGAAATGGTCCCGTCTGCCTCTGCAGATCACCATGTGAACCACAGCAAAGATCCCCAAACTGATAAGCTGCAGGAAAGAGTGAGGAAGAAATCGGATTTTCTCCTGAGCCAGTAGAGGATCTGGCACAGCAGACCCACAGACTTTGCAACTGGTAACTCAGTGGGTATCTATGTCATACTTCATGTGATCACCATCCAAAGGGCTTTTAACATTTTGAATGGAGACTGTAAATATTGGTTGTGACTCTGATCACTACCTAATCTTTATCAAATTGTCAGATCTTTCTGCCTTCATCCAGTCTCAAAAAAAGAAAAAAAAAAACCACAACAAAAAAGGAACGGGATTATTTTTGTTACTTTTGCCCTTTTTTTTTTTAATGTGGCTTCCTAGTGAAAGGAGGCTTATGTAATTATACCATCTGTCCATCTTTCCTCAGTGATGTTCAATTGCAAACAAATTTGACCGAAGGATAAATATCTCAAAGAGATTTAAATTCTTAAAACGTTTAATGAGAATCAACAGCATGCAGTTTGTTGCCCTGCGGGGAAGGGACTTAATTTACTTGTTCCTCTGCTGTGTAGTAGCAAATGAATATTCCCTGGCTGATCTGCCACCTCCAAATCTACCACACTGCCTGTTGCCCAGATCACAAGAGAGGGACCGGGAAGCGGGGAAGTGGAGGAAATGGGAAGGTTAGAGTAGATGGGAATTGACCATACGGGAAGGGGAACTGGAAATATGAGAGAAAAGGAGAGGTACTGACAGTAGTGTATTAGGAAAAGAAGATCCAAGATAGGATCATTGTAGTGGCTGGTGTCATGGGAAGCTGTAAAAGGTATAACATAAATCTGAACAAATCTACTGATAAATGTGTTTGTTTTCCTTGAATTTTGATCCCGAGTTGATCCTATTTCACTGTGGTGCCTGAGCTCAGAGCTGTAGTGTGTCAAATACTACTGAAAACACCTGCTCCCCTTCACGCAGTCAGATCAGGCTGAGCAGCCAGGCTGAGCCTGGAAAAAGGGTTCAAGCCACAGAACAGCAGCTCCTGGTTGCAGTCACCATCACTGTCCTGCTTAGAGACTTCAGCACCACTCTAAGAAGGTGATCTCTAAGAAGAAGCTATTCTTGGTTAAATTGGTGTGTCCATTGCCTGTGGAGAAAATGGGAAAAGAACAGGAGGAATCAGGAACCAGTTCTCTAGTGGTTACAGAGCTGAACTGTCATCCTTGCATGAACCTTGTTGCCATCCTTGCATGGCCATACATTCCCCAGAGCTGAGACCAGACTGACTGCTTGTCATGCTGTGTTCCCCACCACCCTGCATCTACTCAGGAGCAAAATCAGAGCTCCTTAAGCATGTTCTTGGTTTTTATTTCCCCACACACCGTGCCCTTCCTGTCCAACCCCAAAAAATAATCATCACTCATTGAAGACTCCTTTTAACCTGTACCTGAAAACTTAAAAGATGGTAATGTGGTACAGGGCTCGAGCAATGCTGTTAATGTGCTGCTGCTGAAAGCAATGCTATGGTAACAGAAATATTTTGCTTGCCAGACCCACATGGTATCTCTACATAACACTCAGTTGTGTGAACATATGCACTGAGCTGCCATGTCTCTGTTCTGTGCTTGGCTGCCTGCTGCTGACATACCCTCCATTTCCTCTTTTGCTGGAGATTGTGAGCTGAGGGTCTGACATGAAAGCCTTCCAGATTCATCACCTTATAAATGAAATCTTGACTTCCCAAATGCAGAATGTAGCAGCCTTATCTACATCTTAAACATGTAGTAATGCCCACGGGGTTCCAGGAAAAGGCTATATCTTGCTTTCACTAAACCTCCTGGGGAGTCTGAGAAATAGGAATGGATCCAAAATTGGATGACTTTGTGGTTTCTGAGCTAAGCTGGAAAGGAATTTTCTGCTATCATGCATTAATTTGTAGGGCACTGACATAAAAGAAAAAAAGTGTGCTTCTCTCTTTGTATGTACATTTTTATAGTAAGCCATGCACATTCTCTGAAGTCTGTTCTAAGTATTCAAATGAAAAGGAAGTCCCCCTGCCTGAGCTCCTGATATTTTTCCTGTTTTAAGAACAGCTACTCAGAGAGATTGATATGTTCCTGTTCAAGAAGGAACTCAAATTGCATTACTACTAATAAAAACATTATATTTTTTTTTCTTATTTTGATACCTACTTCTATCTGAAAATATGTGAAATATTTCCAAATATTTAAAATAATAGAACAGAAGTAAGAGGTTGTTTTTTCTTTTTTTTTTTTTTTTTAATGGAAGGAGTTTATCTCCCTTTAGATATATAGATGCCAGTATGTATTGTGTGTTGTTATATCACAGACGTGTAGACTTCAGAGCCTAACTCTCCCAGAGTCACGTCAGGGCACTTCAGAGTGCAATTGCACTGACTTCTACTTCATATATGCCTTGTGATTTTTCATGCTGAGAGCCCAAGACCCACAGCATAAGTATGGTGTTCCCAGAAGGAAGGAACCTTAGAAGAGCTTTGATTTAGGTCATTTTGCTGTGGCAAAATGTGTAACAACACTCACATTACTCTTGACCTGCCAGATTAGTTTGGAAAATCCTCTTGTTTGTAGGTGGTATAATGCAATCCTAGAATTTAAGACCTGGTTCTTTAAAACAGTTAACAATTGATTTTTATATGTTTCCTACAAATCCTCAATGTGGATCTCAGGCAATCTATATTCCTTTATTTGCCTGCCTTTTATTGATCAAATTTAGTCTAATACAGGCAGAAATAAAAAAGCATTTGGTTTGTGCCGAAGATGTGCATGGTGAAGCTTTATCATGCCTTGAAGGCACATCTATTTATGAAGAAACCTTTACATTACATCATAGTGTTAACTTTTTCATCTCGTGATCCTCTCTAGTTCTCTTTTGGTCCCTCTTCAGCAGTATTTTTCATTCTTTCTTTTTAATTCCCCTTCCCACCCTCTGTGTGCAAGGGAAACAAGAATGCAAAAACCTGTGGCATCACATGGCAATCAAGGCCAAACACCTTGTGTCTTCTCCTGTCATTGCTTTGCTGCTGGTCTTTAATAATATGTTCATTTGCAAAAAACATAAATTACTTGGATCTTTTGTTCTTCTAAGATGATCTGTTCCATCTCCATCATTCTGAGCATGACTCATTCCAATATTCAGGTGACAGGTTAGGTTACAAGGAAAACTAAATCTAGCACAAGTAGAAGGAAATGCTACATAAGGTTCACTGACCTGTGATCTCTTTTCTCTAAGCACTCCAGTTCAATCATTACAGTACAAGTTTCACTTCTATTACTGAAGTCTTTTATTCTTTAGTCTTGTTAGGGTGAAATCAGAAGACAAGTTTTGTCTTTAGCATTTTGGAGATTTCTTCTCTCTAGAAGATAATTATTTTTCCTTGGAAAATACAATCTGTGATGGAACTTTTAAACTCTTTTAAACTCTAAACTCTCTTCCTAACCATTCTGAGCTGAGCAAGAAATATTTAGCTTTCTTTACCCCAAGAAAGGCTCATCACATAATTGCAACCTTTAAAAACCAATAAAGAAGAATTCTGAAATTCAGGTAAAAATACTATTTTAACCTAGATGCTTGCTAAAGAAATGGGAAAACAGTGCCTGAGCTCCAATACTAAACATGCCTGCCCCGTCTAATAGCTTGCCATAGTGAGAATTGAGAAGGATTCAGTGACTTCTTTTAGAGGAGGGCAGGATTCCAGCTCCAAACAATCCTGGCCACCTTATCAAGAACATGGAATATGACAAATAGCAGAAGAATACAGTCTTGTTGATAATCTGTGGTCAGAAAAGGCTCAACAAAAAGCACACATATGCTATCAAAAATAATCATATTGTCTGGGGGTTTTTGGGTTAGAAAAGAATCTGTTATAAAGTCATAACTTCTGTGTTAATAAAAAAAATGAACAGCAACCATATCAATAATAATAGGTTTTGTTATTCAAGGTTTGACTTTGTAGCACTGGAATCACTCTGTAGGCGCTTAGAGAACACAGTGAAAAAAAAATAAATAATACTGAAAAAAAAAGATCATCTGCAGGAAGGTTTGTCCCTGTTCCAAGAATAAAACAGAAGAATATTTGCAATACAAAACAACTACACATAAGATGGAAGGTGGATAAATTATACATACAAACCTTATGGGCTTCCTATATTCTACTGCATAAAAAGTACAGTATCATGAAACATTTTAGATTCAGTTCTATATAATAGAAACAGTTGTCGGAGCATTTTTCATTATGCACTAATTATCCCTTTGATAATAGAAATAACTGAAGGCTCTTGTCACGCAAACTGCTCC